TCCACCATTAAAGAAAGAAAAAGAGGGTGGAATCCCATCACCCTACTACTTTTTTTGTTTTGAGTCAAAGTCTCACTCTGTTGTCTTGTGCAGAGTGCTATGGTGTTGTCACAGCTCACAGCCGCCTCAAGTCTCTTGGGCTTAAGCGATCCTCTTGTCTCAGCCTCCCAAATAGCTCAGACTACAGGTGCCTGCCATAGGCATTTGGCTAGTTTTAATATTTTTAGTGGAGATGGGTCTTGCTCAGGCATGTCTGGAACTCGGGAGCTCAGGCAATCCACTCCCCTTAGACTCTGGAGTACTAGGATTCAGGCGTGAGCCACCACCCGGCCCCTTTAAGGTTTTCTGGAAAAAAAAAACATTGTGATAACTCATCCATCCCAAATTCTCCCCCTGCTAATTTTTTATTGGATGCACACTTTGTGGCAGGTGAAGTAAATACAGACATAAATCATCCACGGTCTCTGCCCTTAAGAAGCTAATATCGATCTCTTTTCTTTTCAGGGAAGAGTAGTTTTAGAGAGTTATTTAGAGGACTAATTCTTTGCTTTTCAAAGTACCATCTGCTAAACTCCAGTTATGTAAGATGCTCTATGAAAAAATAGTCTTATAATCAAACATCTTTATAAAAATATTGCATATATAGTATACTTCTTACAAATTTAAGTCTCTAATAAATCCTGTAGTAAAAAAGTTCATTGTTTAATTTTGTTTTACCAGTATTACTCAATTTTATCTGATTCTTAGCATCAACTAACAACTGAGGTCTTCAGAGAGCACATTTGAAGAAAGACTGGATGCTTGTAGAGAAAAGCCAGGCAAACTACCTGAAACTACCTGAAAACTACCAGGGGGCTATTTACCAAAAAGAATGTAGACCCAAGAGAATGAAAAGAAAACAATTTTAGTTTTAGGTATAATATCTTAACTTCAGAAGCATTTTCAGGTTGGAAAGGGCACTGAATTAATCCAACCAATTTTCACAATAAAAACAAACCAGTATCAGTTTGATGAGTATGAAATATTAAGTGCCCTAGTAATTACCTAGGAAAATGCAAATCCTGGACAATGGACTCTTCTAACTGTTGTAACAGGACGTTAAATGGTGAGCTTGGCTGTTGCACCAAGTTACCCCCAAGTATGTTGTAATCTAAAGGTGTTACACTCTGCAAGACTGACAGGTTTTGCAAAACTAGCTATGTAGCCATTGAGTCCCTACACTCACAATAAGGTTGGGAAAAGGTTGAAGAAATGGAAATGAATTTAGTGAATTTCTTAGGAGAGTTATGCTGAAATTCCTCACCTCTGCCACCCAGGAGCCAGTAAGGGGAGGTGTTTGAGGTATCACTGGCCTCCCACCACTTTCCTGGAGTGGGAGATGTATTCCAGTACCTGACTTGTCTGTGGGACGTAGGGGTTATGGGTGGGCCAGCAGCTTGGCAATGTGGGAAGAGGGAGGCCTGTGAGTTTGCTGTGTCTTCTCTTTAATACTGGGGCAACGGGCACTGGATGTGGTGGTGGGACATAGGGCCAGTCTGGGAATATCCTAAATGCTGCCCCAAGAGTCTGCGGAGTAGACAGCAGGAAACCAGAGTCTCAGGGAGAACAGTACCTGCAGGAAAATATCTTGCCTGAAACACAGAAAGTTCAGGCACCTGTTCCCAAGACAAGGCCTCTAAAGAACTATCCGTGGGAATCAGCCCCACCTAACTGCTTAGCAGGGGAGTCTGACAACAGTGTGACACAGATGACGCTCTGGAGATAGGAAGAGCTGGGGGAAATCAGATTCAGTCAGCTTGCACTTAATTTAAAAGTAAGGGTTAACTGTAGAATTTGACTTTGAATTAAAGGAGAGCATTGATTGAGGAACACTGAACCTTACGGATACCATGAGAAGTCAGGGTGTGGTCTACATACGCTTCTGATTCCTATAGTGGGTAAACATCAGATTCATCTGGAAGCTCCAAGGCTACAGTGATTTGGACTCTGTAGAAATCAGAAGCTCAACTGTACAGTCCCTCCATCTCCCATGTATTTCAGAGGCACCGGGAGGTCTCAGTAAAAAGATCTGACTTGGGCTTCTAAAGGCCTGGTTGGCTTTGCTGTAACTGTTAATGGTTTTACTGAGAGCAGTATGCAAAGAAAATCCACCAAGAAATACAACCAACATCTCTTAGTAAATGAATTTTTATTGCTATTTTATAAAGCTTAAATTTTCCTAAAAGAAAAAGAAATCAACTCACATGTAGAAAAGTTACAAGCAGATAGCTACAGATAACATAGCCATTAGGAAAAAGAGCACAGCTAAATAATATGGAAACAAAAGCAGCAAGCAGGAATAAAATTAATACCTACATAAATCTAGCAGTGCAATAATAAGATAAGCGGAAAGCAGCTTTACGTTTTAAAAAAGTTATTTAAACACAGAAATAGCACCGAACAAAAAGGACTTGAGAAATGTAAACTCGGTAGGTAGATTCAAGTATAAAAGTTGTACGCCCAACTCTTGTACCAGAACGGAAGGGTTTCACAAACCCCGCACAGTGAAGGGCACACACACCCTCAGTGCCGACGCCAAGCTGCATTTTCTTAGCAGGATCATCAACGATTATTTTTTTCCTCTTACTAAATTATACAATAGACTCAAGATTGCCATTGCTTCTTCATCACCGCCAACTACCAAATCTAGCTCAGCAGCTTCACTCTCAGTTGTTCTGCACGCCAGAAACAACCACTGCATGTTTTATTTTTGTCTATCTTAAAGCCATATGAACAAGTGGGTATTGAATACAAAAGAAACTTGTCCCTGGTTTTCTACTGCTAAGTGTGGTCACGAGATCATAATATTCTCATTTATGGGATTGCTTGACACCCCTCAAGAACCAGGAATTCTTTGAGATTAATGTGGTCACACTGTGAGCGGAATAATAATAATATTAAGGGAAGAAGTTAAAATAAGCGGATGACATCCAGGAAAAGTGAAGAGAAACCCAGCTTGTGTTTCCATCTGAACGCAGACCTCTCCGTGAAAATATTTTGTGTAAGTTCTTAAGCATGGAGATTTAAAACGGACAGACCCTACACGGATTTACATGTTGCATATCCTGCAATTTACCTGAAAAAGGCATATTTTTAGTTGTTTTGATAGGAAACCCGTCAGTATTAGTTCAGAGTAATCATTACCATGCATTTGTTGACAGCTGGAACTACATTTTTAATCTAACTCTAGAGAAGATAGTTACAAAGGGAAAAAATACAATCTTGTAAACTTTAAAAGTTTAGTGTTGATAAAAATTTTATGTAAGTAGCAAGCTTACTTAATCTGGCTACCTACCTCAAGTTTTAAAAAATCTTGTAGGGACAATAAGGCTAATATTATCCTGTAGTTAATATAAAGCTACTTTACTCAGACTCTCAGAGTCTCTTAAATTAATATTTTTATTCTTTCATAAAGCAATTTATTGGGTCCAAAAAATAAAAATAAAATCCTACATTAAGATTCTAAATCTAGATAGAAGTTTTGAAAGACAGGAAGAAAAGATGAAGGAAGGCGGGCAGGCAGGAAGGGAGTTATTTACTCTGAAGAGACAAGAGAGGTAAATATTAATAAAGGTAGGAACACAAAAAACTGGTTTGGTGACTTAATGAACTTTGCAGGGATGGGGACTTGTGTCCTTGAGGCCAATACGTGGCATTCTGGATCCTTGAATGAGGCCAAATTTTATAGAACAAACTTTGTTAACAAAGGGATTCATTCTGTGATGTTTGGATTCGGTCGAGGGGTCACACTTGGGGACCTGGGGGGCCACATGTGGCCTTTAGGCTTGAGGTTCTCACCCCCGTGTGGTTTAACAACACAGCTTCTAGAATTATATTCATGTTAGAACAATGAACTCCTGCACTCGCTGTTACCATTTTTCAGAAGTACCATCTAACTATGGTTTGAAATATTCTTGGCTAGGGACATAATGTATCCATTTTCCCCTTTCCCCTTCATAACATGAAGAAGTAAAAGAAAAAGAAAAGGATCACCCATCGCCCTCTACCCATTTCTACTCTTCAGAAATCAACAAAAAGGTCTCATCCAGGCTCTGATTCTCCATGTGACCTACCATCCTGATTCATTCTACAAACAGCAAGCATTAGAAGGCAGCCATACCTGATACTCTACAGTTAATATTTAAATAAAAAACACAGGGCATGTAGTGAAGGGAACTGAACACAGTAGGATTTTTAGAAATGAACAGTAAAACCTCCGTGTTCACACAGTTACTGGATAAGCAGCCGTCAGGCCGCTAGAGTTCATCTCAGATCTCATGCCCACAGACAGGGTCGGCACAGTTCATTTACAGCAAGGTGTGGTATTCACAGTTATTTTGGTCTTGACATCTGTCATGGGTACACACTTATCCACATTATAACCAGGTTGCAGAATTTAAGTGCAGGGCAAATTATAGGAAAAAAACATAAACATTCAAGTCGTCACACCCTGAAAAAAATGAGTTAGGCTGTAGTTGTAAACTTTTTGCACTAAATCCCATTTCAGGAACAAAATAAATAATACCATAGGATTCACAAGTGAAGGTGGCTTCCGGACGAAGCCGAAGGAAGCAGTAGCTTTTTTAAACTGCAGGAAGGAAGTTTATCTCACCACAGATAGACTCGGGGCAAGTGGAATTGCATGTGAAGGACGCTTACCCTCGTTAAGTGCTAGACAACCCCCCTTCAGAAAAACCACAAGGCTCCGGCTGCCTGGGCAGATCTACTCCAGCCATAAGGTGATTCTTGAATCCAACCATAAAAGTCAGCCGGTGCTTTTACCGTGACACCACGCGGAGAGTCTGAACTCTAACTGTATGAAATGCATAATTAATAACAATTACCTTCAGGAAAATAGAATGATCATGATGGTGGGAATTAACAGAACCAGTTGATGAAAGGGAGAGGAAGGACGTGTCCTCACCACTGGACGGTTTGCGTCCTGCTTAGGATGTCGCCTGGAACACAGGGAAAAAGTCAGATGGTTTGACCCCATGGCCCCGGTGGCGGTTAGTCAGCCCCACTGCCCGGGATCTCCAGCCTCCTCTGAGCCGAACTGGCGTTTCGCGACTGACTCTTTTCTCTTCTCTTCGGGACAGGGTCTCCGAGGCTGCCAGGGGTTTTGAAAAACGTTTCACGCTGTGTGTGACGGATGCTCTTGGGGGTCACTGGAACTGGAGACTAAACAAACAAAAAAGAGAGTGGAAACCGAAGTCAAGTCAGACTGTTTTCAATCTGCGAACGGGAAGGAAGCCCTTCCTTGCCCTTTGTCACCGGGACCCCCGGGGAGGCGTCCCCTCCTCTGCTTTCCTGTCACAATCACCCATTAACCGTCTTCACCATCCTTATCGCAGATGGAAACTAAGTTCATTTATTCTGGGTGCAGAGAGGCAGTTTACCAGAGGCCATAAACGTGGCACCTGGAGCCAGATCTGGGCTCTGTCATAACTAGCTGGGTGAGCTCGTGCAAATCACTTCATCAGTCTGTCCCTGAGTTTCTTCATACATGCCGTGGGGATGATGAAAGTTCTGACTTCCTAGGGTTGTAATAATTGAACAAGATCATATTTGTAAGCACCTTTGAGGCAAATATTATGTGTGCATGCGTTCCTTCTTTCTGTTATTTGCTAATACTTATTTATCCTCTCATGTTAACTATTAAAAATGTATCCCCTTAATGGGCCCCTAAAATGGCAGGAAGCATTATCCTGCTTACCATGGTATTTTCACTGTCCAGGTGGGTGTCGGCGTATAACTCAAGAGCAAAAGGCATATATAATCTTGTATGACCTTTGGAGAAGCTAACATGTTTATTTCAATGCCTAGCAAACTTTTTTTTTTGCAGTTTTTGGCTGGGGCTGGGTTTGAACCTGCCACCTCCGGTAGATGGGGCCAGCACCCTACTCCTTTGAGCCACAGGTGCCACCCTCTAGCAAACTTTTGAGGCTTTGAATAACTTATCTAAAATATTTTTGGCTGGCCGGGTGCGGTGACTCATGCCTATAATCCTAGCACTTTGGAAGGCTGAGGTGGGTGGATCACCAGAGCTCAGGAGTCTGAGACCAGCCTGAGCGATACCCCATCTTTACTGAAAAACGGAAAAAACTTGCCACTTATAGTCCCAGCTACTGGGGAGGCTGAGGCAAGAGGATTGCTCAAGCCCAAGAGTTTGAGGTTGCTGTGAGCTATGATGATGCCATGGCATTCTATCCAGGCAATAGAATGAGACTCTGCTCAAAATAAATAAATAAAAGAAAAAAAAAAATATGTTTGGCCAAACACAACCCTTTCTTTAGGAGAGTAAGTAATTACTCTGAATGATGCCCAATATACTATGTGTAACAGGAACTCCACAAATATTTGTTGACTGATCTACAAATGGAGTTTGGGGGTCAAATACAGTACTGATTAACTTGTATTGATTATACACTTCTATGCACATTTTTATGTTTTATGAGTATATAATATCTATACACATATATATACACATTTGCCTTTAAACATCACATTTTAAGAAATGACTGAGGCTGAGACTGAGTTAGTATAAAAACTTCTGTTTCCCTTGATTGCTTTTATACCTACACAATTAAAATTTAGGGTGGTTTGTTTTCAATAAAAGCTTGGCGATCAGTGAAATCATCTAAATATTCAGCATTTCTCAAAAGTTCCTCTGACTTATGCCTAAAATAGGTCCTCTCTAATTCTGAATACAGAATGACAATTAAAAAACACATCATTGGATGGACGAGGTGGCTCACACCTGTAATCCTAGATGTCTGGGAAGCTGAGGCAGGTGGATTGCCTAACCTCACAGGTTCGAGATCAGCCTGAGCTAGAGCAAGACTGTCTCTAAAAATAGCCGGACGTTGTGGTGGGCACCTGTAGTCCCAGCTACTTGGGAGGCTGAGGCAAGAAAAGACAATGGCTTGAGCCGAGTTTGAGTCTGCTGTGAGCTGTGATGCCACGGCAGTCCACGGGGACAACACAGTGAGACACTGTCTCAACGCCCCCCCCCCAAAACAAACCAACAAAAAACCACATTGTTGTCTTTAACTCACAGGATTTCTTGCCTCGTGTCTTTATGTTTTATAAAATAAGAAGATAACTCTGGGTCTTTGACGGAAGCTTGGCAGAGCCTGTCCTAGTGCCTCTGTCCTACAACCTCACGGCTAAAATAAAAGCTAATACAGCACAGGCATACTCCATCTGAGAGTGATGGAGTCTTCAGGACAACTTTGAGTCTCACCTTTTGTAATTTGACTGAGACTGGATGTCCCACATAAATGGGGGACTCAGGTTGGATGACATTGTGTGACCTTGACATAACAGGACTCAGGTTAAGTGAGGGCTGACCCTGAAGCTGAGGGTCTGCAGAAGAGAGTGTGGATGACTTTGGATTAACTATGCCTGCAGGGCCGATGACAAGATGAGCTGCTGATCCAGGGCCAGGCAAGCTGAAGTTCACAGGTCCTGTGTTGGCGAGAGTGCCAGGAGCAGAAGAAACCAGGCCAGGCATTGCGGGAGAACAGAGCACAGGAAAAGGGCCTGGAGTTGGAGCTGGCACGACCATGCAGGGAACACCGAAGGGCGGCAGCTGACCCGCGGGCGGGCCCCCGGAGTGGGGGTTCTGACCTCCAGGGAAGACCACATTAAAGCCATTTAATCCTGAAACAGAAGCAGAACAAGGAAGATCAATGCACCGTGAAGATGCCACTGAAGCCACGTTCCTCACAGTCCTTCCAAATGAGAGTCCACAAGAATCAAAGACCGATGGAGCCTTCCCTCCGCTGACCCTGCCAAACAGCCCCACCCATGCCTGCCCAGCAGCAGCCAGGCCAGCACGTCGATCCCTGCAATCATTTGTTTCATGCCTGCAAAGGGATCTTGAAGGGAGTTACAGGGAACCCAAACTGAGGAGGAGGTGAAACTTGCATGAGAATAATGACATCTCTCCTTTTGTAAACTTCTAACCAAAAATTTATATTTCGCTCGATTATTATCACAGGCAACATGACAATATTAACAGTACTTTGACTCTGTCACTAGTAAAAATTCAGAAATGTTCATACTATATCACAGCTATTACAGATTTCTTAATACACTATTAAGGTCATCAGAATGTGCAGATTATGACAGTGCTGGACTTGCTGTTAGATCATTTTATTATGATAAGTACAGCTGACCACCTCCCTGAGCCGACCTAACTTTCACCACATGTGCCTACCAGTACAGTGGGCCTGGGCCCTCCTGTTGACCACCTCTGTGGGCTGACCAGTTTATTTCAGTCACTTGGTCAACTTTGGCTGTGATTTCAAAAATTATTTTTCTAATTATATTCAGTATAATTGGCTTCCTTTGTAATCCTAAGTATTTCATTCTATAAATCTGTAAACTTTTTTTTCTTTTTTTGAGACAGAATCTCACTTTGTTGCCCTATGTAGAGTGTCATGGCCTCATAGCTCACAGCAACCTCAAACTCTTGGGCTTAAGTGATTCTCTTGCCTCAGCCTCCCAAGTAGCTGGGACTATAGGCACCCACCACAACGCCCGGCTATTTTTTGGTTGCAGTTGTCATTGCTGCTTAGCAGGCCCAGGCTGGGCTGGAACCCACCAGCCTAGGTGTATGTGGCTGGCGCCCTAATCACTGAGCTACAGGTGCCAAGCCACATCTGTAAACCCATTTTGAGGGTAATCTTTGGGCTTCACTAAACTGTCAAAAGGTCCATGGCAGAGAAAAAGTTAAGAATCCCTGGGGTGGTGCCTGTGGCTCAGTGGGTAGGGCGCCGGTCCCATATAACAAGGGTGGCAGGTCCAAGCCTGGCTCTGGCCAAACTGCAACAAAAAATGGCCGGGCGTTGTGGCAGGTGCCTGCAGTCCCAGCTACTCAGGAGGCTGAGGCAAGAGAATTGCCTGAGCCTAGGAATTAGAGGTTGCTGTGAGCTGTGACACCATCACACTCTACCGAGGGTGATAAAGTGAGACTGAGGCTCTGTCTCTATAAAAAATAAAAAAATAAAAAAAATAAAAAAGAATCCCTGTGCTGGGCTGTGATTTCACTCAGCAGGGGCTGAGTCTGTTTTTGTTCATCAGTGTATCACTAACACTGACCAACACACAAGAAATATTTGCTAAAGGAACAAGAATGTTTTGTAGATAAGAGAACAATAATAAATACCTTCCTAACCTGTTCTGGCAGGTTAGGCTTAAGCTAACAAGCAATCAAGAAAAATCAATGTAAGTATCTTTGCATCAAGACCAGCTTTACACACACAGTACACATTTTAAACATTAACTATCATATTTCAGGTTTAACTCAAAATAGTAACAGAATTTATTGAGTGTCATGGCCAGGCATTATTATTTTAAGTGCTTTAGAGGAATTATCTTACTAAGTTTAATTCAATTTTCATAGCTCCCCCATGAAGCAGGCATTACTATTATTGCTGTTTTACCAATAAGGCTGTTAAGTTCATGCAGGTGATTCATGGTGGTAAGTGTCAAGCCCTCTTACTCCAGACTGCTACTCAACCACGGTATCTTCAGCACTTCTAAATACGCAGAGCTCAGAATGCTAGCTGCACATATAAAACCGGACTACCCAATGGGTCATACTACAGGGTATCTATAAAGTGCGTGTGCAATTTAAAATAGTTTAACATAGTAAGCTACACACGAACTTTATGTCCACCCTGTATTATATTATAAGCCAACACCGGATCCAGCTGCATTATAAAGTAGAATCATGTCTTGAATTTGTTGTGCTTTTTCACCAAATAAAGTTAAATTTTTTTTTTTTTTTGGAGACAGAGTTTTACTGTTGCCCTGTGTAGAGTGCCATGGCATCATCACAGCTCACGGCAACCTCAAACTCTGGGCTCAAGTGAATCTCTTGCCTCAGCCTCCCAAGTAGCTGGGACTACAGGCAGCTAGTTTTTCTATTTTTAGTGGAGATGGGGGTCTTGCTCTTGCTTAGGGTGGGCTCTAACTCCTAAGCTCAGGTGATCCACCCACCTCAGCCTCCCAGAGTGCTGGGATTACAGATGTGAGCCACTGTGCCCAGCCTGTATTTTTTTTTTTCAGTTCCCTGCTCTAATTATTTTCCCATTTTTCTTCACGGTGGTGAAAGCAGAAGCAGCTTTTCCTTTCATTCTATAGATGGAGAAAAGTAGGGGCTAAGAGTAAAATGACTCAGGCGACAGACAGCAGCACGTCATTAAGCTGCTTTTGTCAGGTGACAGACAAACATTGAAGAATCCAATTCAGGGTATGACTACCACAAGGGACTCTAAGACACGATGACATCCCTTACCGGCTGGAGGCTGCACATAAAAATATTGCAACAAAGAGGAATCTTTGGTGCTTTCATTTTCTTTTGAAGGCTTTTCCACATCAGTAGAAGGATGTCCCCACTCAGAGGAAGCAAAGCAGTTTGCAGTCGCCTTTCCTGACGCCTCCTCGGAAGCACGGAGCTGGCGGTTCCCATGAATGTCTTCGAGGGGTGTGAATGCCCAGCTCCCCAGAGTCCCGGGAGAGGCAAAGTCTGTGGAATCTGAGGGTGTCTGAGCACAACCAGACCAGGAAGCAGAAAATCAAGTCAAAATTTCAGCAGTAAATCTTAAGTACTAGTTTCTCAACATAGCAAACACAAACAATAAAGTAGAACACTTGTACGGTACAATAACTGCGTGCACTGTGAGTTGTTTTAATTCTATCTGTAGGAATGGTCTGAAAATAAATGTCAGGTCATGAGCCTCTACAGGCTTATGACTTCTAAGTATGCAAAAGATAGACACTTTAGTAACGGAAACCCAGGCCTGGTGTTTAGACTGTATAATTTCCAAGCTGGTAACAAATAAAGGGTGTTGAGGCTGCAGTCTTGGGCTTTACACGGATTGTGGGCTGGCCCCAATTAGCTGTCTTAATTACTAAGACATGTGCCAGTCAGTCTTTCATTTCTGATCTGCAACTCAGGCTAGCTACAAAATGAGAAAAATCCATTTTGGCAAGAGAAAGGAGGAGAGGAGAAAGGTTCCAAAACGGTGGGATGAATCCCAGGAAGCGTGCCGTGCTGACCCACCGCAAACTGCTGTAATGACCGCACTTCTGCTTCCCCAGAGTTTTACTGGTCACATATCATTAACCTCTGACTAGCTACTATGTGGGGACAGGGACGGCTCCTATTTTTGTGGCATTTTGTAGCCAGGGAAACAGGATCACCGAGCAGGGAAGAGAACGGACCGAGCACAGACTTGCTCTGGAACTCAGCTGCGTGCTGGAGGAAGATTATTTCAGTGAATCCCAACTTATTTTTTTTTAAAAGGATGTAAAAAAGACTAGAAGAAATATACAAACATGTTAACAGCGATTGCCTCTATGTGGTGGATGATGGGTAAGGTTTATTCTTCATTTTTTTTAATATTTTATACAAAGTGTGACTTTCATAAAAATCTGTTTTCTGACAGTTCTATTTTAAGGAAAGATTTTTGGGAGAGCCAGTCCACTGCTTAATTATGCAAGTGACACACAAAATAGCCTCACATTCCAGACTCCATGGCTTATTTTTTGTTTTTTTAAAGACAGAGTCTTATTTGTCACCCTCAGTGAGTGCCATGGCATCATAACTCACAGCAACCTCAAACTCTTACTTAAGCTCAAGTGATTCCCTTGGCTAAGCCCAAGTAGCTGGGACTACAGGAGCCCGCTATAATGCCTGGCTATTTTTAGGGAGAGCGTCTCGCTCTGGTTCAGGCTGGTCTTGAACCTGTGAGCTCAGACAATCCACCTGCCTCGGCCTCCCTGAGTGCTGGGATTACAGGTGTGAGCCACCGTACCCGCCTTGGTCGCTTATTAATATGTATGTGTCTCCATTAGGAAGAAACTCGGGGCCAGTGGGACGTCACCAGACACAGCCACCTGCACCCCCTCACCTTGAGCATGATGAGTGACAGGGAGCTCTCTTCATAGTCCCTACTTGGTCTTTTTGTCGCTGGCTCCGCCTCTGGCTGTTTCTCACAGAGGCGCTTCTGAGCCGAGGGTGCCGACGACAGCTCTCCTGACCCTGGAGCTTCGGAAATTCTGCCATCCTTTTCTGGCCCGGACCCCGGGGACAGCCCCTCCTGCAGGCCCCCACACAGCATGAACAGCGAGGTGGCCGGCACACACAAGAAGGGCTGGCCGGCAAGTAGAGCTGGCTTCAAGCTCTCCACGGCAGAGGCTACGGACGTGACTGAGACATCTACTTGTCCACTCAGGCTGTTCTGCCTGGAGAATGTCTGCAGGTCCATGTGAGCAACCGAAAATACTGAGTGGTCTAAAGGATTAACACCGTATTCAGGGTCGACAGAGAGGACAGGGAAAGGAACAACAGGGTCCAAGCTGCTTGATGGTTCCACTCGCTTACTGTCCAAGGCTTCCCCCCTGCAATAAAGAAAACAACAAATACCATCGAGTTAGCATGTTCGACCAACTCGCTTCCCCAAAGAGAGCCAGAAGGGAGATCATACTGCTCAGGCAGGTATTAAAACATACTCCCTGAACGCGTACGAGCTCACCCAGAGCCAGATAACTGGGTGGGTAGGGATGGGGTGGGAGAGCCAGTGTGGGAAGAGCTGCCGGAACCTTAGGTGAGAGCTGCCCGGGGGCCTGCTACTTCTCCTCCCCATCTAGCCGTTATTAATTACTGAGCACTTACCCCCTTGCCAGGCATGTAGATACTATTATGATTAGCATAATATTATAATAATTTTATACAATTATGCTAATAGCTACTTTCATCTCCCTAACTTACCAGTGTGAAAACCAGAAGCTCACAAGCTAATTGACCTGCCTAAGGTGAGACAGCTCTCAAATGGGAACCTGGGACCCACAACCACATCGGCTTGATGCCAGAGCCTGGGTTCTCAGTCACTGCGACCGACCCTGGGTGGACAACAGAGTCTCACTTTGATTTAGAAAACAACTAGTTCGTCTCCAGCGCAGCGTGAATTAAGTGAAGCTGGCAGTGAGTGAGGGAGCAAACTGACCTCTCAATTACTTTCTCAGGCTTGTCTCATTCTGCTCGGGATTACTAAGGAGTTTTTAGACAGCGTGTATTTACAATTAAGTCCCATCAGTATATGAGATCATAAACAATGACTTGGCTTTTTATACTGAAGTTTCCAAAGATTCAAAATCACATTTATGTTTTCAGAATACTTTTAGGAACAGATGAGGAAAATCCTTTAAGATAGTTAACAGGCCAGGTGTGGTGGCTCACGCCTGTAATCCTAGCACTCTGGGAGGCCAAGGCAGGAGGATGGCTAGAGGTCAGGAGTTGGAGAGTAGCCTGAGTAAGAACCACACTCTATGTCTACTGAAATAAAAATAAAATAGTTAACAGAGGCCAGGGACTTTTTTCAGCCTTTGTGATGGAATCACAAGACCTAATTTGCCTGTCATCTCACTGTCCATTGTGCGGCTAAGAACAAAACGCAGGGCCCTGGGCTCCTATCACAGCCCCCAGTGAGCGATCGGTATTGCTCACCTCTGATAAAATACAATCTCTTTCAAAATCAGAGCCCAAATTTAAGTTGGACAGACTGGATTTGAATGCCAGTTCTATCCCTTATTATCAATGAGACTTTGGGCAAGTTATTTAGCCTCTTTGGCTTTATAACAAAGAGGCTAAAAGAAGCCTCTAAAATAAGGATAATGGTATCTACCTCCAAAGATGATTACTATGATCAGATGGGCTAATATACATTAAAACCCTTGGGACAGTACCTGGTAGTCAGTAAACAAGGTCAGCTGTGATGATGACAGGAGGATTTGTGGGACATGATGCTTGGTGTCAAGCTAGTAGCGAAATGTCTTTTCTTACTGTTTTATCTTTTTCTGTGGTTCTCTTATTAGCTATCATAGCTTATAGGGTACTTTTTTTTTTTTAGGGTACATTTTTTATATTTTTGTGTCTCTGATGCTATTTCATACTCGGTGTTAGGCATAAAAAGGAAATCTACCAATTCATAATAAACAAATAGCTGACTTAGATTTTACCTTTTAATGGGTGGCATTTCACTGTAGTCAAAGTTAATATTAGCAAACGGAATGCAGTAGTCTGAGTTATTCTAGACTACTTACCAGGAACTGTCTTCTATTTTCTGTCTGTAGACAGCAGCCAGGCTTCCAATTTTTAAAGAGTAGCACCCTGACCCTGAAAGGGAAAAAATGAAGGTTTACGAAACACAGGATGAGACTTATACATACCAATCTCATACGGCAGAATTTGTGGCTCTCAGCTCAGGGATTATAAGACTATCTCAAATCTGCTCTGGTTTTGATTCAAAGAAATTTCTAGAAGCTTGCTGTTAGAATTCAGATCTCATCAAGAATTAGTAAGAAAAATGAGTGTCACTTTGTAAGTCTAATGAATTTCTAAAACACAGGCCAACCGTGGCAAGCCAACTTATCTTTAAGGCTGACCAGGATTAGTTTTAGGCATGAGGCCATGTTCACAGCCTGTGAAGTCAGCATCTTCTTTGCCCCCAGTAAGCAGACCTCTGGAAAAAACCGGCAGGGTCTGAACAGTTAGCTCATGTTAAAGAGCTGCAATTACACGGCAGCTGATGGATCCCACGAATTAGGCAAGGGCAGGGTACCTTGTTCTTCTCTGTATGGGCTGCTGGGTTCCGAGTTTACTTTCCTCTGGATCCTCCCAGAAGCCTGAACTGTGTTAAAAGAGCCATGACGAGCCAGCTTCTGTTTTGTGCAGACTTGGATCTGACCGTATGTTTCTCTTTTCAATTCTGGTGAGACAGATGCAGAAACATCCACGCGTTGTTCGTCTAAATAAATGAGAGGATCGGCAGTGTTTTTATACAGCTATCCTTCAGGATTATTTTAGTCTTTTTAAGAGATGGCTTTGAACCTATAATTTTAATGGAGCTACCCTATAAATCAAAGGGATTTTATGAGCCTTGTCTCAAACCTCAATTTCTTTCGATGTACTAATTTTTTCCCCAAAAGTTAGTGGATGACTATAAAATGAGATTGAATCCGTATATATTCTAAAGTTATCTGAACTGCAACATAAGTAGAGAAAGATGTTCTTCAACCCAAATTAGAAGGAACCTGACATTTTGGAGGCTCCATCTGAGCAGAGAGTAGCAAAGGCAAATCCAACCACGCTCAGCCCAACTTGCATATTTTGAGATTCACTTTCAAGATTAATTGAGACCAGCCTCCTGTGCCACAGACCTAGGGCAGTGAACATGAGAACACTATTTTCTATCCTGCTTTATTATCTCTCTCTTATGCAGTAGGAAGCTCAGTTACTAAGTGACCAGACAAGTAAGGTCAGCAGGAGTGTCACGGTTCAAATGCTGCAGCACAGGGGAGATGACGGAAGGCTGGTGGCCCTGCAGGCACATTTTGGGCTTTAAGAAGCCTGAGTAAAGTCCAGACAGAATTTTCTAGATAGACGCAAGTGGCCACCCCTGTTGTCCAGACGGCCAGTCTTACCTTGTTCACTTGTGCTAACTTTTTTCTAAGCTCAAAGCATGCACACTTAAATTATAAAACCAATCTAATAAATGGAAAGGCCCAGCTAGACTTACATTATAAAACACTTTCATGTTAACACAACTTTAAAACTGAGAAACAAAATTACCTTTATGGTTTTCTTTTTCTTATAACAAAAGCCCCATAAAGGGTCCTTTTAGAAAAATCCAGAAATGACAAAATCAAAAGGAAAACAGGTGAAGCTAGTAGCAAGGACCATGTCGCCTCCTTCCTGAAACAAGTTACACGTTGGACAAAATGTACAAAACAATGGCTCTAAGACACTGGGCATCAGACATGAAGGGCAGTGGTCCTTACTGGCAGGAATCTAATGAGGTGAGCGCTGATGGTTCTAGCTTACTGTCTGGAGGATGTTTCTAGGTGTGATGCTGGGAAGGGTTGCTAGGCAGAGTCTGGTGGTCTCCGTAAATTGAGGATGCAGCTGTGTGTCCTGGAAAGCCAAGGCAGCTAGAGTTTGCAGGGCCAAATGCGGAGAAGGGAGGTGTGCAGAAAAAGAGTGCTGGGGGGTTGCAGAGTCTTCCTCAAACATTCAGTGGAGCACTGAGGCATGTGAGAAGGCTTCCCCGGGCCAGAGACAAGCTCACCAAAGGAGTGCAGGGAGTCTGCAGCTCATACAGGGCTGATGATGGGGCCTGAGGCCAGCAGCTACAGTGGAAAAAACCTCCAAAGTCAGGGTGCATTATTTACAGTACTAAAAAGGGGGCTGCCTCCGTAATGGGGGCGAATGTACTAGACTCAATGCTGATGATGTCCTTTCCAGCAAAGCTTAAAAGCAAGATCAAAAAGGATCCCTGTTCCCATGTAACTTCACTGCATCCCAGAACAAAGATCAAGAACATTTTTAGGAGCACAAAAAATGTCTACTACTTAACAACATATAATTCTCAGTGTCTGGCACACAATTAAAAAGTACCATGTACACAGAGAAACAGGAAAATATAACCCAGACTAAGAAGAAAAATCAATTGACATTGATCCAGGAGTGACAGACGACAGACTAGGAGACCAGCACATCAGAACTGTTATCAGACTTGGGTTCCATAAATCTAAGGAGCTACAAGAAAGACTGAACATGCCAAATAGAGACATCAGAAACGTCAGGGTCCAAATCAAACCACTGGAGATAACACAGAGGTGAAGATGAAAAACATAGTGTACAGGACTCAAGGCAGGGCCGACATTGCAGGAAAAACACTGGTGAACTCAAGACCCAGCCATGAAAACTGTATAAAAGTGAAACATGGAGAAAAAAGACAAAGAAATGGAAAAAGCAGCAGTGAACTGGGACAACTTTACACGGCCAGATA